GCATCCATAATTCCTCTTGAAATTCCATCTTCTTCTTTCTTCTTCTTTCTATACAGTAGTCAGTCAAGCAGAATAAAATGCAGAATGACAGTGAGCGCTCGGAGGGTTTGTATTTAAACACAATAGCAGACGATACTCCAATATCGCGGCAAAACATCAACAATCCATCATGTGATCAAATGTGATTGGCTAAAAAAAAATCGCTTTTGGAAAACAGCGCCACCACAGTGACAAAGCGAAATTGAGGGGAAACCCCGAACCCGAGTGTATAAAAGATGACGTCATATAATAACAACACTAACGTGATATTTACATGATTTTTATTTTCTTAAAAAACTAACAAAAAGCTTTCTTAACTGTAAAATTTTCCTCTGAAATCGTATTCGATCCGCTATTCATTGCATCCAAGGACTTCTCCGGTCTTTCAGGGGCTAGTAATTCATAGATTTTTGATTTTGAGGTTTGGTATTAAAAGTCACTGATTTTCCTAACCTGTGTGAAATTTCCAGTCATTTCATTCCGTATTGAATACATACTTTCTCCATCGCATCTATGTTCTCCCACAGTAAAATCAATTTTTACTTTTTCTTGTCATTTTATACCCCTGTTAGAAAACGCAGGTAAAACGTATATTTCTTTTGCACACGGTCCCCCTAGTATTACCTGTATAGTCAGCATAAAAAAACGTACGTCTATCGTATTTTTTGCACATGACCCTAATTTTTTGCACATAGTCCTTACAGATGATGTAACAGGTATAAAAAAGCAGGTAAAAGGTGCACACGGCCCACAGCAGGTATATAAAGCAAAACTGTAAAATTTAAAGATCAGTCTTAGTTGATATTTTTTCAAAACTTGACAGAAGTGAAAAAATAGAAGCAATGATGAATACCTCAGAAAATCCCCAGTATTATGTGACACCTGAAGGATATGTAGGAGGCCCCATGCCAGAGTTACAGGATGCAGTGGATTTGGATTTGAATTTGGGCATGTATAATTTTCCTGAATATGTGGATAAAGAAGATATGGGCATCTTAAATACAACTCTGGATGGGATTGTTAACATGCTGTCTGGTCTTGATAAAAAACTGAATGATATGAACACCAAGATGAATGATCTTGATAAAAAGGCGAATAAACTGAACACCAAGGTGAGTGATATTGATAACAAGCTTAATAAACTGAAAACTTATAACAGCAGTGAATTTGCTGTGATTCGTGGCAAATTATTCAAATTAGAAGTCACTATCAGCCAAGATAAAATGAGAGAAGGAGGAGGAGGAAGCACTTACCAGAAAAAAGAAGGATCAGGGGGATCAGGAGAGAGTAAGAAAATTAAACAGATGGATCCATGCTATGTATTCGTAAAAGACATACAAAAAACTGAAGGAAAAAACCCTCAGGAAACCAAGAGGAAACTTCCCTTGACCACATAAAAGGCACAGAAGAAAAAGAAAATGTAATTGGATGTATTTTTCATTCTAAATAAAATCTGTGTTCTAATCTGTATTGTGTGTTATTTGTTTTCAGTAAAACCAGTTTGAACCGGTTAGGCTGTGTAGACTGTGAATGAAAGCGTGACGTCATAATCACATTCTTTTGAGTCGCTGCCAAAATCGTAGTACCAACGTATAGTATAATGTAAACACAGTGTAAGCGCCCCGTATTTAGGGGATAGGTTAGGGTTAGGGATAGGGGGGTTAGGGTTAGAGGGCTAAGGGGGATAGGGTTAGTTAGAGTTAGGGATAGGGTTAAGGGGGATTAGGGTTAGGGGATAGGGGGCTAGGGTTAGGGTTAAGGGGATTAGGACTGCACTCAGTTGACCTCCCTATCCCCTCAACCAATCTGAACTGATCACGTGATTCTCTCAGCCAATCAGAATGCGGTCCTATCTAGGCGCCTTATACTACTCCCAAGGGCTACCATTTACACTAAAATAAGGGTTGGGAACCTTAAACAAGGGGAGATAATCAGGAAAACAAAACCAAAAGTACTGGTTGCTAAAAAATCTTCTTCTCCATAACCACCAGGCAGATTTTCACCAAACTTACATACAAGGATCAGGATATGTCGAAGATTAAAATTTGCACGGGGAATTACCGTGACCTACTTTTTGAACTTTATGACTCATCCTTTTAAAAACATTAAATCCCATTATTTCAGACACTGGTAGGTTTAGAATCATCAAATCTTGTACTTTGATGCATCTAGGGACCTTAAAACATATTCATAAGAAAGTAGGTCACTGTGACCTACTTTTTGAATTTTGCCGAATTTTGGTTTAAAATGCATATTTTGATTGCCTTCAGAACTATGATCATCAAACTTGGTTCGATTGCTTCGAAAAATGTCGACCAAAATGTAGATCACGATGACCTACTTTCGACATTTTATGGCTATATTTAAATATCTTAGATATTTATTGGCTTAGATTCATCAAACTTTGTGAGTGGATGCATATTTAGTTTTCGGAGAGTGACGACCAAAAAGTAAGTCACGGTGACCTACTTTTGACATTTTATGGCTTTATTTAAGTATCTCCGGTACTTAGGCCTAGGAAAAAAAATACGTGTCCGCTTTCCCGACCGACCCTAATTTATAGTGCCGACCCTAAATATTTTTTTAATGCTTTTGTCCCATGATGTGCAAGGTTTCACCCATGGAATTAGGTTTCCAACTTTGCAAGCTTTTCAAGACAGAAAGAAGTTTTGGTCACCTTTCTGTTAAAAGTCTAAGTCACAGAAATGCTTGAAAACACCATTTCTTTTATCATTAATGTTAATTCTATACATGTTTTGATTATAGAAGCAAAAAAAAATTTTCAAAAAAAAAAATTGCCTACCTACCTACCCTACATTTTTTCAGCCTGAAAGCGGAAACAAACATATTTTTTTTCTAGGCCTTAGTTTTGAATTTAAAGTAAAATGAGTTTAAATGACAAAAAAATAATTAAAATTTTAATGTTTTGCAGAGCATTAGTAATCATTATCACGACAAAGCAATCAGGCGGATGCATGACGCTCTTTAGCTGCTCTTTTGGTATTTATTAAACGAATGCTTTTTTAAAGGTACTTGGACAAAGATTTGAAGTCAATATTTTTGAGGCGCATCGTTTTCGATGCAGCCTCATTGCCATCGCCCAGCAATACTCTCTCTGTTTATGCGCGGCGACAAAGGACTCAACAATATTGATTCTTAACACGTTATAAAAAATTGCTAATGTACATTGACAAGTTAGCGATATCATTGTTATATTTTAAACTGCTAATAACACAAAATTCACACAAAAATTAATTAAAAATCTTTTTTTTTCGTACTTGAAAGTTATTAAAATTTTAGTATATATAACATTTGTTATACATTGTGCCATTTATATTGGGAAAAAGTTAAAAACAAGGAAGTGATATTTATAAAAGTGCACATAATGAAAGAAACTGAAATAATTCAGATTACTACCATTATTTCATCTTCCTAATAGTCAAAGAATAAAAATTAAAAAAGAAGTCACAATTTCAATTATGATTCAATTTAAATATCAATGAATTATAACCAATATATCTTTTTTTAAAAAAATGTTTTTCCTCTCCTGATCGATTGGCTAAAATTCAGAGCCATGGCTAAATTTTTTTAACCTCAAAAAACGTTAGTTATTTTTAAAATTCTTATTCCTGGATTTTTTCATTCCCTTAACAGATGTTGAATATCTCCAAGAAAAAAAAAAGTTTTATACCCTCAATGCGATGCGCCTCTCAGGCCGTCAGGCCTTTGATTTCTATAATATTACGACATATATATTTTAATAGCATTTCACACAAAAATTAATTAAAAATCTTTTTTTTTCTTTTGAAAGTTATTAAAACTTTAGATTTTGGCGGGTTTGATTGACACACCCCTGCACTTTCACAAATTTTAACCTTATTCTTAATCCTTAGGAAAAGTGGCAATCTTGTGGTGTATTAATGAGAAATATTGAAACTTCTATCCAGAAAAATAGTTTTATTCCGAGTAGAGATGTTAGAAAGCAAAACTCCCTCACAAGTATCGTCATTCCTAACTAAGAGTTGCTGATCCGACTGCAGAAAATTCAACTGTAAAAAGGCGGTGGAACTTTGAGACTGTTAGGTCAGTTTTGGATTTTTCTGACATAAGGAACTTAAAACAGGTCTGTTGATAGAGCTGAAAAGGAATTGTATATATGAGTGAAAAGGTGAACTTTACATTCTGGAATATTAAAAAAGTTAGTATTTAAACCATTCTACACTATGAACTAAGAAAACTTACTTGTAAGATTCCCGTTCTTCTCAAACCGGCCTGAAATGGAAGGTGCCTCTCCTCCTCCTCCTTTTCCCCAAGGATGCCTTCAAAGATTCTTGGGATTGGACCTCCCTCTATTATGGATAGTCCTAAAAAATGAAATATATATATATTTTAAAAATATAAAACGAAGAGGATTTTTTACTACGTCTGGAAAAATAGAATAACAGTTTACATACCAATGATCAACCCGGTGGAGAAGTATGTATTTCTTGCCAAGTACAACTCTATATCTGTCAAGTCTACGGAATCTCCGTTGACTGTCAACATGTTTTCCTTGAAGTAAGCCAGAAAAATTCCAAAAAACTCCCGCCTTGTCCCCCCCCCCTCCCATGTCGATTGCAGCCTCTCCGCAAAAGGAGACTTCCAAAGGCCACCGGATATTTTCTAGGTGCTATACCTCTAACGCATGATCCCATGCATTTGCTCTACTTATAAATATGTTGGCACTATTTCCCTCCATAAGATGGTCCTCCTCCGTGACGTCCAAGGACCTCCCCTTGAGGAAGACTTTCTGATATAGCCGCAGCACCTCACTGGGATCTGTGGTTTTACGTCTGTACAAAAAACAGGGTCATCACTTTTGTTTGTATAAGTAGTTTATAAATTTATAAAACATCCAATGACAGAATAACTTACTTTTCCACTTCTTTGATGGTGTATTTTACCAAGACATCTATAATAAATTAACGTATCACATATGAATATGATATAGTATATAAATATTACTAACTGAAAAAAGATATCTATTATGGAGAACACAACACCCATCGTGAGGATTGCAGGGATTATGGTGAATGGATTCAAAATTTGTATATTTGTACTACGTTTTTCAACATTTCAATTTGTATTGTAATTGACATTGGTGACCCTTCGTCTTACATTTGGGTCTCTATTCCCGGACTCGACGACAGATTCATGAGGCGATCGTCGTTACTCATTGTATGGCCAGATAATAGCATCACAATGCAGTCATTTGTGTTCAACTTTGATGCTGCATATTGTTTCAGCGTCTGTCAAGAAGAATATAAATTCATGTAGACATTTTGATAATTGTGTAGCCCGCATTGCTTATTGCATTGTCACATAACCTTTTACTTTCTTAATTGAATCTACAGGTACAGAGGAAACCTTGGCGCGACAAACCGAAACTTTGGTGTTGTTGGCGAATGTCTCCGTGAAACTCCCTTCCTTAAAAGTGAATGTGACTTCCACTGTAAGAGGAAGGGTATCCGATTGATCCAGACTTGATTCTATTCTACTTCTTGGCAATCCTTCGCCCTCAAGACTCGGCAGATCTTCTGTTGATGAACAGGAGGAGACTTCTACTTCTTCATTGCAGTCATAGTTCTCTGAAATTAAACGATTGATACTGTAACCTTTCTGTAATACATACATTTTTTATTTTAATAGAAGTAAACAATATTTGAATGTGATGTAAAATGCTCATTGCCATTTATAAAAATACAAAACAAGATCGAATCTCGTCTTTGGATCTAGGAAATTCCTGTATCCAAGAATTGAAAATTCTTCTTAACCGTCAGGAAGATAATAGACCTTTTTCCCATCAGGATACACCAAAACAAATTGATTGTGGTGATTATATTTCTGGTTGAACAATCTATTTTGTTGGCAAAACTTTTCAAATGCAGCAGCTTTTATTTCCTTAGATGTATTTCCTTCTTTTTGAAAGGGACCGACTACAACAAAGCCACCTTGCATGGATAAACTGTTAACTGAGATTCTGCTAAACTTTCCAGACTTAAAGTGACCGTGACCAGTCTTAAACTGAAACAAAATATTTGCACATAAACCCGTGTAATGACCATCAATCATTGATCCTAAATTCTTTTATGTTACCATTATGAACAATTTAAGCTTACCATGACAGGTTTCTCTTCAACCGTAGGAGTAACTATAACCTTGTCTTTACCTCTTGGTATTTGAAGCCAATTGCCGCCTGTAGGACTGAAACAGCCCGAACCTGGACGTCAGCTCCTCTTTTCAAAAAATATGTAAAATTTTAAAAATTTAATTACAATTCAACAAATTACATTTTTCATAAGTTACATTGCTGTCAAGTATTTGCATGTACTTGACTGTAAAATGACAGTGCAGCTACAGAAAATAGATGTAATTTGACTGGGCGGCTAAGTAGGGTTAGGATCCATACGCAGTGTCAGAAGAATATCGTGTGGACGTAATTTCATATCAATGGTATTTTGTGATTTCGTACATCTTCAACTTCAATTTGAGATCTTATTTTAAGTCCGTTATCTAAATGTCATTTACATAACCCTAGCTAAAGCATCGCTTCTACAAACAGCCAAATATAAACGGTTTTCATTACACCAGCCACCTTCTGGTTCCATAGGAACATCCTATCGGCAGATGATATGATACTGCATTTTAACATCGCCCTCGATGTAACGAAGAGAAACAATATTTGGAAAAGCACATCCTACGTTGAAAAAAAATGGGGGGTCTTTAAGCAAATCTACATTAAAATCACCTGTAAGTATGATTTCTTGGTCATCACAGCAGGGGGCACAATTCATCTCTCTCGCTAGGTCTTCCATCCAGCAGGAGGGGCAGATGGTGGGCGGTATGCAGAACAATAAAGTATAGGTTTCGTGTTCTTTAAATTAATTTCTAACCATATTGTCTCAATGTTACTGATTTCTAAATCTTTTCGACGTTTATAGGATAATTCATTTGAGATATAAATTACTATTCCACCACCTGCCTTATTTTGTCTATCTTTTCTTTCAAGTGCATAGCCACGCGGGTTTGTTAAGGCAGCACATGGACCAGAATTCGGCGAATTAAGACTTTTTTATAACTGTGCAACACTAATAAATTGGAAAAGTCAAGGATATAACTTTTATTATAATTATGTGGTTTATAGACTTCAATGGAACTTATACTACAGGAGGCACTTCTTCACGACGTCACCACTTGACGTCTATAATTAGAAAATATGCCTTAATGACAAAGTGAAAAGTTTAACACTACCCCGGAGATAATTAGTTCCAATTTATATTAATAGTTATGTTAAAACATCTCTGTACCATGAAAAATGCTGCTAGAATCCTACTGTCCTCTTATAGAAATAATTATTCAACAATTTCGGACGAAACCTTCCGAAAATTTTTACATTTTGTTCATAACATCGAAAAAAAGCACCATTTCCCGTAAACCATACGATTCTAGCAGCACTTTCCAAAAACAAAGAATAAGAACTTTAGATAGAAACAAAAATTAAGTTTCAAGGTATGCGGCGTAGTGTTGAACTTTTGCATCTTTTTTGTTACGAACGACAGAGGAAAGGCTGATCGGCAAGTAAACACCCTCCCTGCTATAAATTTACGAAGAAATTGTAGAATAATATTCCCATACCTTATTCATAGGCTTTATTCCCACATGAATCACATATGATATTCATTCTAAATGCTTTTAAACTCCGATGTCTTGTGTTTGTTTACATCAATTTTCGTTACTTTTCACTTTCACTCGGCTACTGCATGATCAACAGTTATGACGTCACGGGTTTGGTAAGTAACCCCTGTGATAACTACAGAGGCCCAGGAACGACAAAATTCCGTTGATATTACTCCTCTGCATATATTGGTTCATTTTTACGACCTCAAATCAATCTTAGATATCGATTTTAAGAAATTGGTATCTCTAAATTACACGTCATATAGCTTATTATGACGTCATAGCATATAGGCAAGTAGAATATTTGGTTGTAACCTTAACCTACCTGCGCATCTATACTCAAATCTGAATCACTAATATGGTCCTGTAAAAAAGTCTCACAAAGCCCCAGCACATCCATAGATCGTTCATTATGTAGAATTAATTTCAGTTCATCCAATTTTGGTACAAGATGACAAATATTAAAATTTCCAAAACGCAAACCCTTTTTAACAAGACCAAATTCGGTGTTCACCGGAATACATTTATTTGTTATGCTTATAGTTTTGTTTGAATCAAGACTTTCACATGTAAGACTTTTGTTAATCTCATTTTCAGACATAGATATTTTCATAGCTTTAAGGCAATTTCTTTTTTTTTTTTGGGGGGGGGTGCATATTTTACCTGGGGAATTTTAACGGTGGGGGAATTTTTCACAGTGCATATACATAATATTTTGTTACATTCTGAACATACATTTGGAGAGGTTAAAAATTATTTTGAAGACTTAAGGAATTACTTTCTGTATATTCGGCCTGACATTCGTTGCCCTATTCTAGTATGGACAAAACTTTTGTTTATGTCCAGGTTCCCCACAATACCAACAGTCTACTTTGCTACCATGTCTACAGTCCCGGGATGAGTGGCCTTGTTCTCCACAGTAGTAACAGAATGTAGACTTCATGGACACGGGCGGAGGTTGCATCTGATTCTTCTTTAGAATTAAGACATGTTCATTGTAAAGTTTCAGCAGAGAGGCGGTTCCTTTGTTTGACAAATGTATGCCGTTCTGCCAGTATAATGAGGATTTCCAGTCATTAAAAATCCGACTTGATTTAATAACTGTTGCACCGTATTCCTCACAAAACTATAAAGCGGATAATATTATTCACACCGATGACCACTGTATCTTTTCTTGGCATGACTTCAGACACGAAAACACGAATGTTTGAATTTCTCTTTCGTAGATCCGTTATTATTTCGGAAAAGTCGTTTTCCACTGCTTCCATATCTCGCTGATTTGAGATATCATTTCCCCCAGCCTGAATAATTACATTTTCCAGAAAAAAAACATGGTATTGACTAAGTTTTTTTTACGAATAAATGAGATACTGGCACCCCTATTCGTACTCACTCTA